GCCTAATGCCAGCAGAAAACTTTCCTACTGTGGCGGGATGCCTGAACAGAACTTACCTGAAGCGGCGTGTTGGGCTGGGAACAGGGCTGGGCGTCAATCCGTTACTGGTCACCAGGATTTGAAGAGACGGAGAGAAACACTGCTGCTCATTGAAGAGAGAGAATTCAGACAACACATTAAACCTTAAATAGCAACAACAGTACAGCAAGTTATTAATGAAACAAACGGTAGAGATACCTTCTTTCCGATCCCTCTGGTGGGCGAAGGAGCAGGAGACACAGGCACAAAATCAATCCGCTTCGGAGATGATGATGAAGATTTCTCAAGATCATTATCACTCTATAGAATCAAAGCATAACCATAGAAATCCCTTACCCAATATGGCAGTATTATTACAGCTAATTAACCACTTGATTATTAATGCAGTGTTGGAGTATTATACTACCAATCCAGTCTGTTCTTGAGAGACTGGTGGCCCTGTTGACTCCATGAGCTTTTTTCTAGCATGCTTCCATTTTCTCTTCCACAATCCCATCAATAGGGGAAAGAGGAAGTGTAGCAACATAGCTACCGCATGCATCATTATATTATCTGAGTGAGAACACCGTCTCAGTTGTTGTTACAATAGTGATGATTCAGGTTAAAAAGAAAACTAAATTATATTTTTACAATATTATTATTAATATACACTCCGTTTAGTAGTTTGGGTCAGTAAGTTTAATACTTTTATTCAGCAAGGACACACTAATTTTATCAAAAATGATAGCAGTAAAGACATTTTTAATGTTACAAAAAATGTATTCCTTAAAAGAATGCAAAAGTATCCTGGAAAAAAAAAAGTTCAACATTGATGATAAATGTTTCTTGAGTGCAAATCAGAACATTATAATGATTTATTAAGGATCATGTGACACTGACAACTTGAGTAATGACTGCTGAAAATTCAGCTTTGCCATCATAGGAATAGATTACATTTTGAATTATATTCAAATGGAAAAAAGTTTTTTTTAATTTAATTTCACAATTTCAGTTTTTACTTAATTTTTTTAACAAATAAATACAGATTTGGACTTGCTAACTTTTAAAAACAAAAATCTTAAATGACCTCAAATGTTTGAACGGCAGTGTAATTTATTTATTTTTGTAAGCCAGGCACTTACCAGACTAAGACTCTCCTCCCAAGACTGGCTCATCTGCATGGCTGCCTGCACTTCCCTAGATTGATTGACATTATAAGGGGGAAAAAAAATACACAGACAGGAAGAAATTAATAGATATGCCACTAAACACTGACATTATTCCATCCAACAAATGACCAAAGTCAAGCAGTCTAATAGAAGCCCTCATTTTAGTGTGTACAGTACACGCCGGGCTCTACCTGTCAATTATTGTTATGAACACTGCAAGCAGACAAAACCTGCTGTCAGCAACTGATAAATGAGAAACCAATGCCCTGGAGGTTCAGCAGATGTGAGCTCTTACCGTTCATGAGCAGTTTCACGGTTCATCACATCAACACCCTCTTCCTACAAATGAACAAGCATATAAAGAATCCCTATATGAGCAAACACATCAACACCAAGTAACTTATTGTACATGTCTATAATGCCATGTTGGAGTGCGGTACTACCAACCAGTCTAAGTCTGAAAGACTGGTGGTTTGCGAGAACTCCAAAATTAAATTTTAGCATGTACTTTTAAGCACACTCTCCCATATGCACATATATAGGAGTAGTGAGTCTGACATGCTATGAAAATCACCTGTTTGATCCTCTGCAGTCTTGTGCTAGGAACACGTACTGGTGAAGATGGAACCTAAGAAGCATGAACATCCAAATAAGCAAAATGCATTAAACAAACCATACCAATCTGCACATTAAGAGCGCATTCTGCTGCAACTCTTTACGTACCGCATTGGGCCGGACAACAGTAGAGCTGTTTCTTCTGCTGCGGAGAACCTCTCTCTGGAACACCTGAGAAGCATCACTGGGGAAAGAGAAGACATTTTTAACATAAGCATGTACTAAAAACTACTCATTTAAACTTTAAAGTCATGATAAAACTGAGCAAGTAGTGACAGATCCTTATTGCAACATATCCAGGTGTGTGGGGAAAAATGTAGGGCAGGGATTTGGTTCTGAGATGTTGGCGTTGCACTTTACAATGCAGGCAGAGGGTGGGGTTTAAACATAAAATAACTGGAGAAGTCCTGCATGTGTCACCAGAGAGAAGTCTGGTGTTTCACCGGAAGGTCTAGTTCTGACATTTTAATTAAACATTACAAGGTCAAAACGGGTTTTAAAAGTGTAAACCTGTACAAGCTGAAGTACGCATTTAGAGTAAATATTGTATTTAACACCATTGCCGTACTAATGTGTGAGTTTTATACTAACCAACACAATCTGTTCTTGAGAGTGGCCCCGATAACTCAACACATGTTATTCTAGCATGGCTTCATATCTCTGCTCTCTATCAGTGAGAGAGCAACCACGACAGTCATGCATGTTATCTCTCAACACTTGTAAGTTATCCAGCTATACAGCATTTTAGACATCAAAAATTGTGTAGGAACATGATGCCCCAAAAGTACCCCTTGTTTGCAAACCTATACCCTAAGTTCACCAAAAAATGAAAAGGTGCTGAAAATGTACTCACCCTCTGGCCAACTAAGATGTAGGTGAGTTTGTTTCTTCATCAGAACAAATTTGGATTAATTTACATCACTTGCTCACCAATGGATCCTCTGCAGTGAATGGGTGCCGTCAGAAAGAGAGCTCAAATGAATGGTTTTATGTTAAAAACATCTTAATGATGGATTTATTAGAAAAATGCAGGTTTTTGCTTCACAAGTGGATTCATGTGCATTATTTTTTTTGTTTTTTTATCAGCTGTTTGAACTCATTCTGATGGCACCCATTCACTGCAGAGGATCAATTGGTGTTTAAATTATGTAATGGAACATTTCTTCAAATCTGTTCTGATGAACAAACAGACTCATTTACATCTTGGATGGCCTGAGAATTAATACATTTTCAGCAAATGTTCATTTTTGGGTGAACTAACCCTTTAAGCTGTGTTTTCCAGATGGCAAAGCAGCTACCAGGTTCCAAAAACTAGTTTGACCACTTTAAAACTGGTTTAGCTAGTTTGGACCAATTAGAAACCAGTCAGCTACCAGCTTAAGCTGGATCTTTCAGCATGGTCAAGTAGGCAGCTCACCAGGTTGAATAATATACCAATAGAATACAATTACTGGTCTAAACATCACAAGATATGTAATCAGTCGTCACCTCAGGCCGTTTATCATGGGCTCGCTGTTAGATCGTCTCAAGGGCCCATCGCTCTGAACAAGTGACGACGGGATGTCCACATCCAGCTCCATCTTCTCTTGTGACATGATTCCTCGATTGTTCATCTTTATTGTCCTTGTACCGTATGCCGCAAAAAAGCACGCAGGTTGCAAAGCTACATCGTTGAAAGGCACAAAGCAGATCAGTGTCACAGTTCACCATGTGCTCATTTTGCAGCCTATATAGAAAGACTGGGGCTTCTGTCGTTGTTGTCGGCATGAAACGGAAGTTAGGGTTGTATTTTCCCCCCTATCGTGACGTATATCCGAGTGAAACGGCTTTTGAAATGAGAAAAAAATGCAGGGTGGGAATTGATTTCGTCCATCGGGAACTGATTGGATCGTTGTGAATTGGGCGTTGCCTTTAACATGGAGGCAGATCTGAATGCCAGTTTGCAGTCAGTTGTGGAGGATTACTCACCGCTGGACACACCACCTGCACCCTCCCAGGAAGGACATTTTATTGAGGAGGAGGATGACGACGATAACAACGAGGAAGAGGAGGATCAGCTAGATTTAAGGAAGTCAGTCAGTCCGTATTTATTTGAACCGCTGCCTCCCGCAAACCGAGAAAGTCATGGAGACGAAGAGGTGGCCAGCGGTCAAGTTCACCCTCGAGAGCATCTTGCCGTGTCGTAATGGTTATACTTATTTTATAAATCTACTTATTGACCTTAACTGTCCTAACAATAACCACCATTCATAGACTTTAAAGTTTACAGCCACCACAACATCGACGAATCTTATTTGTTAGCAACATTGTTGAATGACAGCTTTACCCTTTTATACCTGTTCTTCAGGTGTTCCTGTGGCTTCTGCAGGAATATGGTCACTGGTCGAGAAAAACTTTGTTGTAGGGAGGTTAGGCAGCTTTGTTACAGAAATGTAGGATCACATTCATTACACTTATGTGCTATGCATATACGTATGTTTTCACACATGCAAACTGGTATATGTTTTTTTAAAGTCTGTGTTTATGAGAACATGGGAAATCTGTAGGTCGTAATACGTCATTACACATATGATCACTCACACACAAGCTGTAGAAAAAGTTTAAGGATAGATAGAATCAACTTGTTAAACATCAGAAAAAGGAAACCCAAAACATTACAATTTAAGTTACATGATTATACATTTATCAAGCCTTTGTCATTACTTCTTTTAAAAGGTCATGGACAAATGTGCTGAAGCCCACCCCCAACCTGAATGCATGACTCAACACCCAGGTTTTGCAGCTGTCTGTCTTAGTCCATGGGTTCTGCAAGTTGAATATGCATCCATGCTTCAGTACTATGGCGATTATGACCAACAAGAATTTACAGAGGAAGAGTTAAGTTATAAATACGTGAGCTACTATTACGCATGAGTTATTGTACTATACTCTGTAATTTAGGCTCCACGTATCAATTTTATATATTAATAGTTTTTCTGACGATACGGTCACACTGCCTACAGGACCTTTGTCCGGTGGTGCTGGGGCTATTTGGGGAAAAGTGTGCATGTTGTCATCCCTTCCTGCAATGTTGAAAAAAATCAGAAGTGCACTTCCTTCTGAACAGTAACAAGGATTTCAATTGCCTCGGTTACAACCTCCTTAATATATAGATTCAATATATTTTTAATAAATTATTCAAATACTTGATTTGTACCATTTGTCATTTTATTTATTTATTTTATTTTTTTTGAAGAACACATTTCAGAGATATTGCCTTGACAATAACTATATAAATTTTTTTCCCCAAACACTGTACAGTCAAGACAAACATACACATACTTGGCCTCTATTTTAGCCTCTATTACAGACTCTCACATTCGGTTTCTCTCGCATACATTAAATGTTCACTGGAGACCACCAAGGAAGGCTGTAAAAAGCAGGACCAATGTCTTGTTGCAGCTTCCTGCAGGTCGGGCCTTTTGAAGGCAGCACACAGATTGTCAGGGACCTTCAGTTCACTCATTTCTTCCTGGTATGGGCCAGGGTTGGGACGACATCTTCAAAAAGTATTTTCAGCAGGGAGTCCACAGTCTAAAATGAAAATATTATTTTTGAAGTAAGGGTAAATTTTTTTTCAATCACATCCTGATAAACAAAGCAGTAGGAGTAAAAAAAAAACAAACAAAAAAAAAAACCACTCAATTTGCTGAAAATGAAACCAAGGTGTTACTTGCTTAAAGGGGTCATATGATGCGATTTCAAGTTTTCCTTTCTCTTTGGAGTGTTACAAGCTGATTGTGCATAGATAAGATCCCTGAAGTTGCAAAGACTAAAGTCTCAAAACCAAAGAGATATTCTTTATCAAAGTTAAGACTCTGCCACGCCCCCCTAAAACGGCTCGTTCAAACACACCCCCACATATCTACCTCACTATGTGGCAATATTAGCATAATGCGGCCCAAATGTGCACGCAAAGAAAGAAGGCGTGGTTTCAGTAACCGCAGTTAGTGTTGAAGCAGCCAGGGAGGCTGTCAGGGAGACGCTGTGCACTTTATTTGGCCTTCCGAAATTAGATGCATTTAGGAATCTTTAAGATTACTTACAACAGAACAGCAATGCATTTTATGGACGACCGTTTCGTGAACCTAGGAGAGGAGGTAATTCTGACTTTGCTATGACAATCTGGAGCTTCTGAATCAGCTACTGTTTTGTTATTAGTTTAAGTATTTGCTATTGACTGTTCAAATGCGGAGTTTTGCGCATCGTGTGTGTGTGTGTGTGTGTGTGTGCAGAGAGAGAGCGCGTCACATCACAGTGGAGTCAGCGGTCTTAACCGTGGCTTGTGTACTGCACACATACCAGCTTCATCACTGTGTCTGTCACACGACTCTGTTCCCCTTTCGGGCTGTCTTTACATTTATTTTGAAAGATGAAGCTCGCGATTATGGTAAGGGGCGTTACATTTCGAGTGCTTGCGGTGTTCGGCCTATCACAATGCACTGGGTCAGCTGGCCAATCAGAGCAGACTGCGCTTGTCGGAAGGAGGGGCTTTGTAGAAAACGAAGCGTTTGAGAGAGGCGGGGCATAGAGGACCTACAATAATGTACAGTATTTGAAAAATAATGTGTTTTTTACACAAATGTGTCAAAATACACAAAATAATGATCTTTAAAAAAGCATCATATGACCCCTTTAAGATCTGAATCATGGTTTGGCTATTGTTTTAGGGCTTGGTTAAAAATAGGTATTCTCATGTTGATCAACCAATATAAATTCCTAAATCTCTAGAATCTTTTAGTCTATCCCATTTTCAGTTGATGAATGAACATAACTGTTGCTCACATCACATCCAATAAATTGCAAGAAGTTTTGTGCTTGCTTTTGATATGATAACATTGAAAACTGACACTTTTACATCACAAAATATGAACATTACCGTTTCAGCAGTCTTCATTGCAAAATTGTAATCCTGGTCCTCATGACAAACTGCTGTGTGACTGACACAAAGGTTCCGATCACAAATTTGTTGACAGTGCAGGTGAGCATGCATGTGGAGCACTTTCTAAAGAGGTCTAGCAAGATGTCCTAGTACACTATGTATTTAGATGCACTGTAGAGGGGTTGGCAAACCCTGAACAGAAAGTAGGACAAACATTAGTACTATAAACTAATTAAGTCACACACAGTCTAACACCAAGATAGACTTACTTTTGATCGTCCTCTTGAGTGATATCAGGAGTCGAACATCGTTGATTCCTTTATTGTAACGTTACCCGACGATGTGTCATTGATCTCAATAGTGCCGCTATTTTCCATCCGTGGCCTTTTGATCAGTGTAGACGTCAAATAAGGAGGATCATACATGGTGCCAAGATCTGCAGTAGAGCAGGACAAAGACGGGCCCCAAGATTTTACCTGGACCGCTAAAATTAAGAAAATATGATCAGACCATTAAAACAAACGTTGAAAATGATTTACTGCGAATATCAAAAATACTTTACCTTTACTCCGTCGTTTCGGTTTTGGAGTTGAGAATGCCACTTGCACTCCAGTGTTGCGAACAGTTTTGGGGGCACATTGGCATCCAACATCTCGTGTAAGTGGCTATCGGATGAATGAAACACAAAACGCCATTTCATAACATCCATCTAAAGACGTTATACGATTCTTTCTAGTTAGCTAGTTAATTAGTTTTACTAACCTTCACATTCATTGACACTCCAACTGTGTACACAGAGGGGACAGCTGTGTCAGACAAATGCAGAATTTGGACTAATCCCATTTCATATCGCTTCAAATTCTTGAAGCAATCCTCTGTAAAATGTCTTGCACACAATCGCGAATTCGCGTTTATTCCTCCTTCTTCAAAGTGTAAAAATTCGAGCCATCGGGCACGCCGAGAGGGTTCTTTCGGGATAGCGAAGAGGACTTGTGGAGAAGTACAACCAAAAATGCACCTTACCACCATGTTGTCGATCGCTGATTGCTGCTGCGATCTTTTCAATTACAGGAGAGATAGGCAGAAACGAGTCCACGATAACCACGCCCTCGCGGCATAGCTCGTGACCGGAAGACAGGAGCGGTCGTCTCGAGAGGGGGGTTGACGTTTTTGATTAAAGATTATGAGGGTATATTAATTTTTTTTAAACAATGAAGTGCACAGATAAATTATTTATAAGAAACACTACAATATTTCCTCAAACAATAAGTAGCATCAATTTTGATTTCATGGTGACTTTAAGGGTCAATGTAGGTCTCGATCAATACCTAAGGAAGTGATCCGTGGGTTTCAGCAAACCAACATTCTGCTTGTTCGATCTGCACCGCCTTTCTTTCTAGAAAACTCTCCACGTTCTGGTCCAAACTTGTAGATAGTTAGCTGCCAGTACGAGCTAATATGAGAAAGGGGTTTGGCCCATGCACACCATTCCTGTGCTGTTAGCTTAGCTTGATGGCGCACAAGAACCTAAAACTGAGCGGCTCCGGTCAGATAACTACAATTCTAGGAGTGCATGTGGAAATGATGCATGAAAGGCAACAATTCAAAGCAGAAAAGCATGAAGGTTAAACCGTGAGCGCAATAATATCATCATCATGTTGCTAACTAACTGGGCAAACGCATGTAAATCACAAGACAAGCGCGCGGCTCCTCTCCGACATCTTCGGTTTGCCAGTTTAGCGTATCAGTATCTAGTTGGATGAGTTTGTAACTTAGTTGCGTCAATCATAGGTTAGCATATTCTGTTTATCTATTTTCTGAACGCAGCGGCGTACCCACAGCTCAGTTAAGAGTCCCGCCCCCTCTGTTCCTACCGGACTGACTGACAGCATCGTGAACCAATCAGAAACTCGACGGCCGCCGGCGTGCCTTTTGAATGGTAACCGTTCGGGAAAATAGCCAATGGAATCACACTTCCTCGAGACGTTTCCTAGGCACGTCTCATTGTGATTAACGCATGCGCATTCTCTTTGTTGCTTTGAAATAAGCCAAACTTTAAACCCTTTTGAAATTGGAAAACGCTGTAAAACTTGTGATATACGTACACCACAGTTAACATATGCATACTATGTAACATTTTGAATATTTAAAATGTAAAATTCTATGATAAATAGGACATTTAAATGTAAAAGTTGTCGACTACTTCCAACTTGTCAACCGAATTCTGTTTACTAATAACTAGAATGTATAAAAAAACACTCTTTGATTTATTTTAAATGTAATAAATTGCAAAACTGCCCATACTTGTCTCAGTATGTTTCACACAGTGTGTCATATCCTCTTTTGGCTTTGGTGTTTTGTTTATCAACCACCTACCACCAAAATAATTTGATAAAATGTTATTTTTATCTCCTTGTGTACAATGTTTTACATCTGATTCCTCACAGATTTGAAGCTAAAGAGAACAAAAAAATATTTATACTTTTTCCAATTCAGTGCTTGTCAAGCAAGAAAATAAACTTTTAGTGAACATTTGACCCACAAACATACGATTTTAATGGATAACATAAAAATAATTTATAAATAAAACAAAAACGTCTTTTCATAGGCTAAGCATAAGGACACAGGCCATCACGTTTTGCTTATCATTTCTAAATGTCCATCTAAACACGTCCTACAATATTACACATCACTATGTGATGACACTCTCCACCCTGAACCAAATTTAGCGTAAAATGGCTTTGCACAGAAGAACACACCAGCAATGAGCAACACCAGAGTCACATGTTTCTTTACAGCTCACTGCAAGGCCTCTTGTCTGGCAGCAGACAATGTTTCTTTTCTCTTCTTCTAATGAGAGACACAAGATTTCGAGCCAGGCGACTGCAAGGTCATTACGCAGGTCAGGTGATGGTAACTCCGGCTGACTTTAGTAGACAGAAAATCACCTCTTTTAAAATAATAATAACAACAAAACTACTATACAGAGAGAGTTGTTTGTTTAAAGATTTAGATTGTGAAGAGCTTAATAAACAAATGAGCAGAAATGAGACAACAATGCTTGCATTAAGCTTGTATTAATAAAAAAAACATTTGCATTTAGTCATTTAGCAGATGCCTTTATCCAAAGCGACTTACAAATGATGACAATAAACAATCAAAACCAACAAAAGAGCAATAATATAATATGTATGGAACCATTTATGAGGTTGAATTATAAGGCTAATGTGGGTTTTATTAAAATATACCCAATTCAAATCAGAAACTTTGTTGAGAACAAGTTGGCTGCTTCAAAAGGCATGAGAACATGCTGAGGGGATACAGTGTGTCTAGAGCGTGCCACGACACTGCAGTTGCACTCCTCCTCCGTTACTCTACGGGGGATGTTGTACAGCTCACGCTCCCACAAAGCTTTGCAGGAGACCATACAATGAAATTTGGTGCGTTTTTTTACATTTCGGCGCCATTTTCGATTGGACCCGAGGTAAGTTTGGATTTTTGGGGGAATTATTTTTCAGGATTTTTTCCTCCGTGTTCTCACGCTGTCAAGTTGTGTGTTGTTCATTAATTTCTGAAGCGTCTGACCTTCCGAGAGAGACGGAGGTGTTTAACGCGCCTCTTGGCGTTGAGTCGCCTTCACTACTTTTGAGTCTTTGTTTGAAAACGGTGCCGTAGTTGAGCGCGGAGAGAAAAGTATCACACTTTAATGTAACTTGGTCTACACGCGCAAGGCGCTTCATTTTGACGCGTGCCAATCAAAAGTTCGCGTTTTATATCGGTCGTTTGTATTTAACTCGCATTTCTCAATATATCTTCTGAACCAACGTCCTCTTTTATTATTAGTACGTAGTTGTCTATTTAGGGAACCTGTACAATCGCAGCTGAGGAAACACCCCACGGACTGTTGATATACACGGTTTTCGAAGGAGGCCGGTGGCAACTAACATTTACGTTGGAAATATGTATTTTGTACTTTTTAATTTTTGATTCCGCACACTTGAACTGCTGGCTATTTCTGTTGTTATATAGAGTTTGTAAAAATGCTGAGTAGGCAGCAGTTAACTACACCCTGTATGTGGCATCCAGCTGAATGTGCGTCTCTAGAGTTTTTCTTACCACCTCAGCATGGCCTGTGCATAATATTTAATAAATAATTTCTATAATAATCTTTACATGTTATATTATTACTTTGACTTGCCTTAAATACGCTGATGTTTCAGTTTAACAAAAGTGTAAGTGTATTCAGCTTGTTTTTTTCAGTGTAGCCAGCAAATGACATGAAGTCAAGTTTTCTATAAATTCCATACATTTTGTTTTGTAATTGCCTATTTTTATTTTATTTTAATTTTTAATCTACATCTTTATTTTAAGAACAAGTAAAACCTTCTGCACACCAGACCGTGACATGTTGTATTGAGGATATGTCTGGTCATGTCTGCCTGGCGAGGACTCTTATTTTTTGTACTTCATTAGTTGCTAACCAACAACTAGGGTGCAAACAACATACCAGCGTTTGAAATAATAAATTCCCATTATTTACGTGCAAATTTATCTTTATTTTTACAAAATGAACGTAAAATTCTAAAGTACTTTGTTATTATCTGGTTTACATTCATTTGCAGGTTGTATTTTCATATTTATTGTTTTATATAGATCTGTTTTTAATGACCTAATACAAAGGATACTGTTTGTTTTTTTTTCAGTTAGAGGACATTGGATATAAACTTGAGGCCTATCTTACCACCCTGTTATTCCCCTCAGACCCATCAGGGGGCGCACGTCCTCTTAATGAACCATGATATCCTCCTAACTACCAGGAAAAAATAGTTTTGGGAATTTAGTATTTTGTCATGTCATTACATTGTTTAGAGCATAAGAAACATTTTGAAAAATAAAATTTTCTGATCTCTGTAGAGGACATCGGGACTTTAAAAAGTCCTGTTTTTAAAAAAATAAAAAGACATGAATAGACATGAAAAGGCAAAAACAGTGGG